ATCTACATACATATATATATATATGTATATATATGTATTACAATTAATCATTCATACAAAAAAGTAAATTAGTAAAGTTTATGATATAAAATGGCGAAATCTCTTTGCTAACAAAATTTTAAAGTTGCATTTACCTACTAATCATTCGATGAGTGTTATGACCCTTGTTTCTTTTTTTTTAATTAAAAGCTGTATAAAGTCTTTCCTAAATACGCAAGTACATTCGACTGTACGTTCAGTCATCTTCAGACATGCAAATTATTTTGTTTTTCGTAAAATCTATGTAGCATACCAAGATGAAAAAATATAATGCGTACAGAAATATGTTTTATTATTATTATTATTATGATTATGATTATTATTAAACGTGTTATTGATAAGGGATACAAACTTTTGGAATGTGCAGTCGCAAGGCTAACGTTGAATTTTTTTTTTTCTTTTGAAAATTTCAGTGTTTGCGTTTTTTACTAATATGGCAATTTGAGAATTTTTTTGTTGTCGGAGTTTATCAGACAATGTGACATGAACTAAAAGTTCAATAAGTAGAGTAATGTCTTAGTTGTTGTCGCAAATATTTGTACGTCGGATTGGTTCTTTTAAAAAATATGTGGTGTATTTCAAATTATATTACAATGAATCATTCATACAAACTTCCTGGTTATGACGTTAAACTGCATCCAACAGCAAGCTCTGATCAGGAGGTTTTGAGGAGCGTGGAACCACCTCTTAATTGCTGGCGTTCCCAGGTGCACCCTGGGTGGTAGAACCTGTTAGGGTCCCAGCTATGGGCAAATAGTGAACTCCCAGTCTAGCCCATGTCCTGGGTATGACGATAAACTACATCCGCGTCCATGGGTATGACGAAAAACTGCATCCGCGCCTATGGGTATGACGGTTAACTGCATCCGCGTGCATGGGTGTGAAGTAAACTGCACCCGCATCCATTGGTATTATGGTAAACTGCATCCGCGCCTATGGGTATAACGGTAAACTGCATCCGCGTGCATGGGTATGACGGTAAACTGCAACCGCATCTATCGATATTATGGTAAACTGCATCCGCGTCCATGTGTATGACGGTAAACTACATCCACGTCCTGGGTACGGTGATAAACTACATTCACATACTGGGTAAGGCGATAAACTACGTCCAACAGAAAGGCCGTTTTTGAAAAAATAAGGTTGTCGGCTATACGTTTTTGGGAAAATAGTATTACCAGTTATACGTTTTCGAAGAAATAATGTTTCCAGCAGTGCGTTTTGGAAAAACGATATTACCAGCTATACGTTTTTGAAAAAATAATATTACCAGCTATACGTTCTTGGAAAAATAATATTACCAGCTATACGTTCTTGGAAAAATAATATTACCAGCTATACGTTCTTGGAAAAATAATATTACCAGCTATACATTTTTGGAAAATAATATTACCAGCTATACGTTTAAAAAAGAAAAATATTACCAGCTATACGTTCTTTCACAAAACCTTATACAATGGAAGGGTAACTGGGGCCAAAACACTATGAAAGTGTAAAAATGGGTTGTAACACCAGAAACCCTTTGTAAAAAAAATATTACCATCAATACATTTTTGAAAACCAAATGCTGCCAGCAAGGCGTTTTTGAAAAGAAAACCTTAAAACACAAAGTAATCCAATGAACCAAACAGGGAAACAATGATATAAGATACTTCAATGGAACTGTAGAAGAATAAATAAAAAAAACGTATTACCAGAAATAAATTTTTGAAGGAAAAGATTTTACCAGCAATAAGTTTTTGAAAATATATGCCAGCTATACGTTTTTGTAAAATACTATAACCAGCTATACATCTTTGGAAAAATACTATTACAAGCTATACATTTTTGAGGAAAGAAATATTGATAGAAATGAATTTCTAACAAAGCAAAAATATTATTGGAAATAAAAAAAATGTCGTCGGCATTAAATGACACATTGAGGTTGATATGCCGTAAAACAAAACAAAACAAACATTCATAAAAAAAGGAAATTAGTAAAGTTAATGATATAAAATGGCCAAATCCTTCATAACAAAATTGTAAAGATGCAAGAATATATATATATATATATATATATATATATATATATATATATATTTGTGTATTTATATAACAAAATTTTGGTAATATTAAAGACAAGTAATTTTACTGATCAACATTTTCAAATCGTGAATAAAACTTCTCAAACAAGGATTCTTTTATATATACCTTTGTGGATGCCATCAATAAAAAAAAAACTATTATAACGTATATCCTTAAATGTATAGAAGAAAATAAAAACACGCGTCACACCATTCTTTGCCTTCGTCATAACACACAACTAATTCTACGCAACACAACATTATTCTCTACCATATTCATAGTGGTAGCACCTGTTGGTGTCCGAGCTATGGGCAAATATTTAAGCACCAGACTGGGGTTAAATCACTAAGAACGTATGAAATATTTTAGAGTAAAAAATACCAGCAATATATTTTCATGGTAAAAAGAAAAAAAAATTACCAGCAATACATTTTTGTAAGAGAAATTATTAATGCTCACAGGAAAATTAAATTTCGGTTTTAAATAAAACATGAGGAGTTGATATGTCGCTAAACAAACAAATAAGTATATCCAAAACACTACACGAAGATTAAATATACACTGACGGAAGAATACCAATATTACCGATAATGAAAACTGCACCTTTATCAAGTTCCATCTTAAGAATGCTGTTACCTCTCTAAAAGTGAAGAAACATTGGACAAAGATTTGGAATGGTCAAGCGGGTATACACCTTATCTATCTATCTATCTATCTATCTATCTATCTATCTATCTATGTGCATATGTTTGTATGTGTATGTGTATGTGTATGTGTCTGTGGAATGATCACTGCCGGTTAACGTATTCACAATTCAATTTTGTACCACAGGGATAAGATCTGAATAATGAAAGGGACTTCCGGGAAAGTTTGAAATATTTGAACAGAGCTGGTTGTGTAAACACCTGGGTATTTGCTGATTGCTTGATCCAGACGAGATCATATTTCGAGTGGCGTATATCGCTTCATAGATTATGTAATCTTTCTTTTTAGAAACAAAAATGGCTGGGTTGTCGATGCCATAAAAAATGATATTTTTTTTTAAAATGATCACACATCTGAATTGAAGTAGTAACAATTTTGAAGGGAGTCAACAATCGTAAAATATGAAGTGCAACGCTATATAGAAAATGAGGAAATGTTCCATCTTATCTAAATACTGCCTCTAAATATCCACCTAACTGTCTATAAGCAGGTCTATATAAAAAAACATTTTCTGTCAATATCGTAAACGTGCAATATTCAATAGTTAAAAAAAAAGATTATAAAAGAGTACTAAAAACTAGTGTACCATTGCGATCTATCGTATATTGAAAGGAGGGGAATCTTAACCGAAGAAAGAAAAGAAAAATCTGGTCTTATCCACTATTTAATTGCAGCGTATTAACTAAAGAGCGTATACTTGATAAGCACTTCTCAAAACGACGCACACTGAATAAGATATTGAAGAGAAAGTCAGTAAATCTTTTTTGATAAAACTTTGAAAATTGGTAATTCCCTAGATAGTTCTACTGACATTGGAGGCTATTTATTGTTTAGAAACACACAGGTTCCGTTGTAATATCGCATTTTGCTTCCTCTCAAAAGATGCCATCGTTTAAAATATGTATATCTGAATAAATACATGTTCCAGGTAAACAAAATTAAATGGGCTTCATGTCGAACAATATTTTTCATCAAACTTCGAATACTATATTAAAAAAATGGACATTTTATAAACGATTTTTCACAAAGCTTCAAAAATGTTCAGTAAGCACAACACCTATAACACGATCCACGGCAAGTCGGTAGTCGAGCTCCTGCAAAACACGTTATAGCATGTCTAATGTAGTATTCCACGGTACTTCGGTGAGGATTTATCTCACTGAGTGTCGACCAGGAAGCTGGATCGTGCGTGCCATTGATAATGACTATGTGCTGCTGAAATGGCCACTACGTTCACCTTGTGATTTTTTTTCTTTGTCGCTTTGTGAAAGGACAGATCTATAACCCCCTCTTACTACAAGCCTAGATTAATATAATCAGAGAATCACTGAAGCGCTGGACAATCTTTTGGATTATAACTATCGATGTCCTTTACGTCAGTGAGGAAGCTGTTTAGCATTCACTGCCATAGAAAAGAATTGATATTGCATAACAGTTCAGAAATCTTTTCGTTTTTTCTGGTGAAATTGTACTGTCACTTAAGACTTTGTTTATCATTTGGGAGACATAATTTACTATTCCAATTCGCCTTCGGATTTCGGTGTCATATTTTCCGCCACCTGTTAAAACGTAATGTGCAAACTTCTGGACTTGTTTCATTTAGAATTTGCCAACATTAAGCTATTTTTCTCTTGTTTACATCTCACATTCAGTTTTCTTACAACGGATGATTAACTTTTTTTTTTATTTATTTACTATTGTTGATAAATTACTACGTTAATTTGTATGCCCATACACAAATATCTTTAATATTCCCAAAAGTCTAAGCCAATTAAAATCATATAATATTTGTCTATTCAAATTATTATGGGAAAAACTATCTTTTTCGAAATAGGTTTCACCACATGTAAAGCATTAAAGTTATTAAGACACAAGGGGATACATTGAGGGTGTTTAAGAATTGGGAGCAGAAGCATAAATAATGAGCGGGAAGACGAAGCAGTAATCAAGAAGACAGTAGATAGCGATTGATATTACATAAAAGGTTTTGTAGATTAAAGTTGTCTGGAAGAGTGACTTTAGCATGCGGTAAGTACGAGAAAATAAACTGTTAAGATTGACTTTACGACTACAACTAACCAGCTCAACTGTAAATTGATCACAACACAACGCCAGTCTAATACTTGCTTAAATTAAAAGAAACTTAGGTACCATAGTGAACAGCTCATCCGAACAAACACCATGAAATATTTCTAGAAAAGACACACATGACATAGATAGATAGATAGATAGATAGATAGATAGATAGATAGATAGATAAAGGTGTCTTTCGGTAGGTGTATCTCCATCGTTGCTCATATTTTCAGTCTATGGTATTCTCAGCATGCTTCGGTGGAAGATATTTCTGTTGCTTCAAGTCTCTTCTTCATCTGTGAAGTGATTCTCCTGCCGCCCTATTTTTGGAGAGTCAGGCTAGGCGGGTGGAGTTTATGACTTGATCAGTTTGTCGAACAGTTAAAGTCTACATATTTAGCCCGGGTAGATGTACATGAATCGATAGATATTCTTTGGACATATGCATGAACCCATACATGTATACATGCATACAGACATACATACATACATATATGTGTGTATGTTTTACATCATATATGAGTGTACAAATGAACAAGTTTATGCATATATATATCTTCATTCAAAAGATTGTGATCAAATAATAGCAGAATATTCTGTATATCAATTTTTATTAAATTTTTGGAAGATTTGCGTTTATCGTCATTTTTTTTTTCCTTTCATTTGTAGATATTTGATCCTTCAATGATTTTACCTCGATTTTTATAAGAGAACGTCGAAACTATGTTGTGTTAATGTGCTTGTTTGTTGCAGAATCAAGCAATTTAAATAAGGCGTATTCCGAGAGAAGTTTGGTTGTAAATATGCTTTAGATATTTAGCATTAAATAATCTTTCGAACATGCTTCATTGTATGTGAATGACAACTAAAATTTGATGAATTTTGTATTCATTTATTCTAGTGTGCTTATTTTTTCCGATTGATGATTCACAATATTACATCTTAAAGGACAATCGTGAAAATAAATAAAAACAATTAACAACGATTAACTCAAATATGGCTATGGACAATTTCACAATCCATTACCCCCAACAAACGGAAAGAATTAAGAATACGAGAAAAAAAAATATATATATATATATATATATATATATATAAAAATATATATATATATTAATATATATATATACAATATATATATAATATTATATACATATATAATATATACATATTATATTTATACGTTATATATATATATATATATAATACATATATATATATATATACATATATATATATATATATATATATATATACATATATATATACATATATATACATATATATATATAACAGTATTATAATAAATATATACATATATATATATATATATATATATTTATATGCATATATAAATATGTACTATATACATATATGACATATATATATATGTATATATATACATGTATATTTATATATATTTATATATATATAATATTATATATTCATATATATATATATATATATATTTTTCATATATATATATTCATATATATATATATATATTAAGAAATGGATAAGGTCCGACAATTTATTTATTAAAGACATTTTATGTTTAACGTTGTTATTTATAGATAAATGCAAATGCTCTGTTTATGATAAACAGAAAATAAAATTCGTTGAATGTCCGGAGAATTTTCATAGAAAATATTCGTTCTTTTTGACAGGATTCGAACATGCATCCTATACGGAACCGTCATTTACGCTGACGTGCCTTAACCGTCTCGGCCACAAAGAACCTTTCGGTAGACAAGGTCGAATTTACTGCTTATAAACTTTAATCTTCCATGAATCTCGTACATTCATAACTGCTCTGGCGTATCAAATGTAAACAAATGACGTCATATATTAAGAAATGGACAAGGTCCGACAATTTATTTATTAAAGACATTATATATATATATATATATATATATATATATATATATATATATATATATATATATATATATATATATATATATA